AGTTGTTTTATAGAAACTAACTAGGAGACCTAGAGCGTTTTATAGCCCTGTCATTTTGCCAGGATTACATTTAAACAATGTAAACCTCTCCGGAAAAATGCAGAGAACTAATGTCCATTTCCAGAGAGGGTCGTGTTAAATGAATATCCTGCAAAATGAACAGCTAAAACCAGGGGAATACGGTGTTTTGAAAGGCGGGGAAAACAGAAATTATATATAAAAGATCGATAGACAGACGTGCTCCCGTGTGTTTTCCTGGCCAAGCGTCTGTCAGCTGTGCACCACTCACGTGGTATATGTCTCGTCTGACTGGGGCGGTAGTTTCTTATGCACGCGCCAGGAAGCGACCTGCAAGATACATGCGGTAAGCGGCTCCCAGCACATATCTGTTTAATTCAAGATAGATAGCTGAGCAAGCCCGGTCAACTACAGCTATGCCCTGCCCTGGAGCAGTTCATATTATGCGGTTATGCTTAGTGTCTTTTAGCTCTATGAAGAGTCCATGTTGAACTTGTATCTGTATTCATTCCATGTTCTGTCATATCACTCTAAGCATAGTCTGACAATATCACTTTGTTGTTATGTATGTCATTCTGCTATAATACAAAGTCTATAGTTCTTAAATTGAATACATATTTAGAATAGCTTTTTATCTTAAACAAACAGTGAGGTAATAGGCACATCTATTTTTGATATTAGGTGATGCGATATGGAGATTTATTGATTATAACCAGATAATGAAGATATCACGTCTATAAAAACAGCGGGGCTATTAACTACTACTGATGACGAGGTATATATATAAAAGTTGTGTTTTATATTTAAATCAGGGATCTGTTCTATGAATATTGATGCAGTCTTTGAACGCATCTGGTGTAAAATATTCCATAAAGAAAATATAATCTGCTTCCAGTTCGTTCATTATGGTTGTTTTGAGAGATGTATCCATTGATTCTTTCCTAATGGTTTGCCTTTCTAAATGTGCATTTCTCAGATTTTTTTTTTTTTGTTTTTTTTTTTTGATTGCTTTTTAATCTTCTATATTCTATAATTTATAACTAGTCTTTCCTCCTGGGTTGGGGTGGAATGCCTTTTCTCTGGTATCGTCGCTCGTCTCCCCGGGGGGGGGGGAATGCCCCTGGACCCCCCTAGAGGAAGTTAGGTCACCCCAACTTAAATCATGTTAACATGGATAGGAAACTAAATTGCACACATCTTGTGTCCATATCTTTCTGTTTTGGTGGTCATGTCACAACCGTGCACGTGCATACATGCGCGAGTCATGGTAAGATATCTGGATTAAGAGGTTGCTTTTTCTTTGCAGATCATGAAAGAAAGGGGAAATGAATGGGCTGTGATTTTAGTTTTTTTAAGCAGAGGTCAATAATTTGTACGGCCCTCGGAGGATGTTGAAACAATTGAAATGGCCTTTGAGAGGAAAAAGGTTCCCAACCCCTGCTTTAGAACAATGGTGTTGTCCTTTGAAACTTAAGAAACAAAATTGATTACTTGTATATGCCACGAAGATAGCAGCTTATCTTCCTAACATTGTCACTTCTGAGGGCAGATCTGATTAGTTTTAAATCAGATGTAATAAGATATTTTATTTCCTTTAAAATTATTGTTTAAATGTTGATGCCTTACATAACTTGACTATGGTGATATGTTGCACATGCAAGCCTCGGGGTACGTTGTGCCACAGTGCTCTGAACTTTGTGCCAGGTTGCACATCTCCGTCTCACCAATGCCCCCTTTATTTTATCTTATGAGATCAGTTGTGACCTTGTGTCTCAATAACTGGTACATATGTTTATTTAGGTTTAGCATTACGAGCAACACATGCATCCAAATATTCACAAAGCCCCCATATGTAATGTGTGGGAATAAACATCAAAGTAGTCAAACCAGATCAAAGTCATATCTGACATCACATTTGTCTTCATGCTTCTTAAACACATGCAGTTTGAGCTCTGCCCCCTGCTGTGCCTTCTCATGATATTTTTAACATTCTACAAACTCCCATGATATTTACTCCCATGAAGTGTCTGAAGTTTGAAAGTGTTGGTTTGTCAAGATCCGGCATATAGATTTCATGTAACTACATTATTTCACAGAAGTACATTGCATTAAATGTAATGTGATAAAACATGTAGAACCGATTGATCCTTTAATATCTGCTCATGAAAGCTACAGGGCAATGTCTAATATGAACAGGAATATGGATTTAAATGTGATTTACCACAAGAAAGACTTAACCCTTATCCTTTAGGGGTTTGCACAGCGAAACAATTTTTTGAAAACCGAGCAAAAACAATTGTGAAATACTGTTAAAGCCATAAGTCCCAGAAATGGGAAATGAGGCAATGGTCCTTGTAAACAACTCTATCAATCTCCTGCAGATATACAGTACTATAGTAATTTGTGCAATTGTGCCTTGACTTCTCTTTCCCTCTAGAATCATGTTTTAAGCCTGAGAAGAGTGTGGATGTGTTTGGTATATAGACCAGATTAAAACCTTTACAAGAACAATGTATTTGAATCCTTGTGTGGCAGCATTTACGCATTCTGCAGATAGGAAGAGAGGGAGGGCAGATCTGTTTCTGTACACATGCAATACCTCGCTCTGCTCCGGCTTCATCCCTCCTCTCTATCAGCAGGTAGCGAGGACTCTCGGGCAGGAAGGGCATCACACACAGCTGCAGAACTGCCGGCAATGCGAGGAAGGTAAACAGGTAGCTCCATCTAGTTTCCTACAGTAAAAAAAAAAATCAACAAAAGAACTACATCAAAGCTTCAATCTTTTAATGTATGCCATTCTATACAAAGACGTGAGATAAAACTAATCTGTGGAAAAAGTGAATGCAGATGAAACTCTTGTTAAGAATGTATGCAAGCAGTCATTATTATACAGTAAGGTTAAATGCATCATTACAATGAGTTACCATTTCAGTAGGAAAAATGCTTAGGCTTAAGGCAATCCTCTAAATGTGAAAGCGACTTACGGTATGAAAGTGATGCAATTCATGTGTTTCTTTAAAGCAAGAAAGATTTGAATGTTTGTATGAGTGAGAGGCTGCATTAAATAAGCAATAACAGTATGTTAGGCTCTGTATACAAATGGTGAATATGTGAAATGTCCCCATGAATAATAACTGAATAAATAGATATAAGCTGTATTGTGGTTGAATCTTCAAGAACAGGAATGGAGGAAACTGTGTCTTTTGTCATGGAGACTACACGATGCAGAGAACACAAATGCATTTGTAGGGATGCACTTACTCATATACAGGACTGTCTCAGAAAATTAGAATATTGTGATAAAGTTCTTTATTTTCTGTAATGCAATTAAAAAAACAAAAATGTCATACATTCTGGATTCATTACAAATCAACTGAAATATTGCAAGCCTTTTATTATTTTAATATTGCTGATTATGGCATACAGCTTAAGAAAACTCAAATATCCTATCTCTAAATATTAGAATATCATGCACCTGCAAGGGTTTCCTGAGCCTTGAAAAACACTCAGCTTGGTTCAGTAAACTAAATCACAAGTATGGGGAAGACGGCTGATCTGACTGCTGTCCAGAGGACCGTCATTGACACCCTCCATCAGGAGGGTAAGACACAAAAAGAAATTTCTCAAAGAGCAAGCTGTTCACAGAGTGCAGTTTCAAAGCACATCCACAAAAAGTCTGTTGGAAGGGGGAAATGTGGCAGGAAACGCTGCACAACCAAGAGAGATGACCGCAGCCTTAACAGCATTGTGTCATGTCCAAGAAACTTATAGTAAAAGTTTATTCTTTATGTTAGAGTTGTCATGTCCCTTTGTCTTGTGCTTTATGNTTATTTGTCACAGTTGCTCCGATCAGATCGGTCTCCTCCATTTTGTAGATTATTTATGACTTTTGAATCCACATAAACACATCGGCAAAATCCGGTTTACTTTGAGCATGTGTTTTAAACAGTTTAATCCCTTTGTGAATTGTTTCCACTTGCGTCGTTCTTTAATTTCTTCATACAGCGGGAATCCAAATGAATTCATCCTGAGTCCAATAACCATCAAAGTCACTCCAGTAGTGCTCCTTAATTACACTTTCATCCTCCTTTAACAAAATTAACAGAATTTACCCTGTGTTTGATTGGTAAGATGTATGAAATTGTATCACCATTTGTATGATTACTTTTCCTTTTAACACATAAAAAAAAAATCAATCAATTAAATCGAAATTTATATTAAAAATATTTGAAAAACTAAGCTTGTATTTGGTTTGTTATTTATAGTTTATAGTTACCTTTAAGATTTGTTGTAGGTATGCCCAGGTTTGAACCGTGGATCAACTTACCCCCTGACCTGGATCAACTTACCCCTACACTGGGGCAAGTTGAGCCACAAAACTTTTTTTTTTAAGAAGTAATATTTTCACTGCCCTTGATCAAATATTAATTATTATCATTGCCATTGATAGGAGACATCCTGAATTATAGGTGTGTGTTTTCATTTTTACTATGTGCCATTTCTCCTTGCTTAGAGGACAGCATAACTATAAAATGGCTCAACTTACCCCACTCTCCCCTACCCATTTTTAGCTAAATGTACTCTAAATTACCAAGGCATATTGGTCTATTGGTATATACATTTGATTGCATATCCTTATAGCAGAGTATCCTGGTTTGCAAGAGTTGCAAATAAACAGCAATAAACGATATGCAGCACATCAGTATCATGCTCTGTATCTGTGTTAAATGGCATTGTCCCCAACAAAAATGTAAAAGGAGGTGTAAAGAAGAAAAATACAGTGACAGTGTTAGTTTAACTGAACACCCATGAAGTGAGTTGAATAGAACAATGGTAGTTGTTTTTCATTTCGATGTGACAAAGTGAGACAAGCAGAACATGATTTGAACTGTAACACTCATCGATAAGAGCCCTTTGAGAAAAAGTGTGACACGCATGGCTCGGTAGCAAAATGAGAGGGTGCTGCTACTCTCGTTGCACTTCATCCCAGCAGATAAATAATGTCATTACAGCAGACTAAATTCAATTGAACCGACACTCCATGTAAACAGTGATAAATCATCCTCAGCATGACTATTCTACACAGAATGGTCATGCTGAAAACAAACTCCCATTGTAGAAACTATGCCTTCATAACTTTAACATGATGTGAAAGAAACTGGCAGTGCCTTCTCTGAGTATTAACACCAATACTTAAGCTTCTGTGCTGCTGGACCACCAGATCCACATGTTGTTCTCTGAGGCCTGTGATAGAAAACTGCAGGGGGTTAACTCACTTTCCCCCCCAGAAAAACTCTGGCTGAAGTAAAACACTACAGCACTGCTCTCTTAGCCTGGACTATAGATCACATATGGAAACCCGAGGACAGGGTTGTTGTTGAATTGCACAGTAGAGATGGAGACACTCTTGGTGGTCCTGATTAGAAAAAACATCACTTGGGTTTACATGGAGATATAAAACATGGAGATTAATCACTTTGGGTGTTTCGAGATGATGGTCAAGTGGGCATTGTTATAAAATCACCCAGTTCAGGAACAGCCTTCAAGATCCTGTGAACAACAACCGTGACAGTGGGGGGTTGGGGGTTTGGAGGAAGGCAATGATTCAACTCCAGCCACAGTAAGATCAAGGTTGCAGGCACAGTAAGTCAGGAGCAGTGTTGGGTGTAACGCGTTACAAAAGTAACGGAGTTACATTACATTACATTTAGCTGACGCTTTTATCCAAAGCGACTTACAATAAGTGCGTTCGACCAACAAAATACAAACTTGAAGAAAACAGAATCATATAAGTACATCAGGTTCAATAGAGATCAAAAATTTCAAGTGCTACTCAACTGGCTTTTAGATAAGCCAGTCCTTTATTAGTATATCGCTCGAAGTTGAGTCGAAAGAGATGAGTTTTCAGTCTGCGCCGGAAGGTGTGTAAGCTTTCTGCTGTCCTGATGTCAATGGGGAGCTCATTCCACCATTTTGGAGCCAGGATAGCAAACCCACGTGTTTTTGCTGATGGGAACTTGGGTCCCCCTTGCAGTGCGGGTGCAGCGAACTGTTTGGCTGATGCAGAGCGGAGTGCACGTGCTGGGGTGTACGGTTTAACCATGTCCTGGATGTAGGAAGGGCCAGATCCATTCGCAGCATGGTACGCAAGTACCAGTGTCTTGAAGTGGATTCTAGTGGAGTTACAGTAATGTATTACTTTAAGGGAGCGGAGGAGCGGCGTGGTGTGGGAATGTTTTGGAAGGTTGAAGACCGGACGAGCCGCTGCATTCTGTCTTTATTTTGTATGGCTTTAAGTGTGTTTTAAATGTGTTTTGTCATTATTATGGCGTGCACCAGCATGTGGACGTGACACGTCGCTTGTGAAAGAGCTCTCCAGTGTCTTACTCTCTCGGACTTCTTCTTCCGAACCGCTTTTTCGAACGACGTTATGTTGTGCCTCGACGTCCTTCTTTGTCTAACTGACTCGCCTGAAACCGGGAACGGTCAACTGTCCCTCTCGCGAATGTAGAAAATGGTACCCTCTCCGTACTTTGCCCGATCCGCTATTAACGATCAAACCGAACCACAAAAAACATCGAGATATGGTTTTATATTTCTTGTCTACGATAGCGAATGTCTCCTTCTAAACGACAGATCTTTACTTTTAGTAAGACACTTACTTAATGATTCATATACCCTTTATTTATCAAGGAACAGGTGAGTGAGGAAGGAAAGGAGTTGGATTTCGCGTTGTGCGAGTCCCAACGTTCGTCAGCGACAGAAACTGGGTCCATTACGGACCAAGTCTGCAAATCGCTCCCTCCTCGTCTCCGGGTAGGAACCACTCTCTACGAGCGTCGGTGTATACCAAGGAAGACTTCTTTCACGTTATTCAACCTTCGGGTGAGTTCCCTCCTGTAAATGAAACGGCCTCCCGTAGCTCTTTGGTCGCCTCATACCCCGAGACTCGTAGAATTGTAAACTTATAAAAGTAGTGGAGAAGTTGTGCTAACAACAGAATGTCATATTCATCTTGTGTAGACGAGTGACACAGTCCGGCTTCGACTTCTAATCATTTAATGACGTTGATAAGAAATTAGTCTAGTATTAGCTACATAAAGACAGATAACTGCATAACAATTCTGCATATATTTGAATTAGTTGTATAGGGTAAACCAGGTTCGATATATCATTGTAGGAAGTCAAACCTTCTACGCCCTAAACATGGATAAAAGAATCACAAAAATGTATACGGTCGTAACATGTTACGGTTCCTCTAAACGTTACAGTACCTAAACCTAAAAATGTAACTCGGGAAAAAGACACGACGTAAAAAGGTCAGATGTCTACAGCCACTGGACCGTGTCTCGCTACGACGTGTACCGCGAGGTCCTCACCAAGGAGTCAGCCTCCACCGGCGGTGAAGGAGTTTCGGACTTGTGTTTGTCGCGACGAATGGTACGCCATGTCGCGACGGGATCGCGGAAACCTACGGTACTAGAAGTTAATGTCGGTCCGTGTAACCCTCAGCCTACTGTTACGCGGGATGTGATCCGGTAACTCCAGACCTCCTCTTCTGGACATTTCAAAAGACGGTTCTGT